GTAAATTTTATTTTGTAGCCATTCCTTTCATTGCCCGGAGTAGGAACTAGGAGTAGCCATAATTAACGTGTAATTTGTTTTTTGTTTTTTGTAGTCATTCCTTTCATTGCCCGGGTAGGAATAGCCATAAGCCCAAATTAACGTGTAATTTTTTTTGGAAAACTTACAGAAATGTCTCATATAAGTTTCAATTTACCAACCTCTAGCCAATATTCTAAAGATCGAAACAAATAAGAATTTTTGTAATGGGTATAGTCGAAATTCATTGAAAACATATAGATAAGTCAATATACAAAATTTGATGAAGATTGGAGGTGATTTAATTTGGACTGCTTTTGTATCAAAATTCATAATTAAATCGATGTCAAAAAATTCTTCTGTGACACATGTATCACGCATGTATCTCACACACAGATATACATGTGATACACAATCGATACAAATATGATACATATGTGATACACAGTGTGATACACGTATTATTTTTTTTCATATTCAGTTTTTACTTTGAATTTTCAATTCAAACCACCTCAAAATGTCACCAAATCATTCCAAAACTGAGATTCAAGCTTTTTAAGATATACCTAATCTATTCTAATAGCACTCACTCAAAAAAAAGTAAAAATTTGATTTTTTTTGCTACAAATAACTAATTGACCATTTTGGCTAATATTAGTAATATTTTATCAATTGGCCAATTTTTGTAATGAGCTACTTCTAAATGGACATAGCTGGTAATTTTCCATTTTTTTTGTTGTCATTCCTTTCATTGCCCGGGTAGGAATAGCCATAAGCCCAAATTAACGTATAATTTTTTTGAGATTTTTTTCTATCTATACCATATATCAAACCTTATTACAAAAAATGTTCATAATTTGGTATTTACCCGCCTAGTCCATAGTTTGACTACAAAATCTGTACCAAACCAAAAATAGATAGATGCTACCTTAAAAAGGCGCCAAATTTGTAGGAATCAGATTTAATGATCACCATTGATTTCGAAATTTAAAACGGAAGCAAATCCATTGCAGCGTAATTCTCTCCTTCTCCATATATTTTCCACCATTGATAGTCATTAAAAAGCTTGAAAGCTTTGAATTCAAATTTGGATTTTCAAAAATCATTATTTGTTTGGATTGGGTGTTGTTGTAAATAATTTGAAATATGTTTAGGAGTTTATATCTCAATTTTGAGGGGTTTTGGTGAAGATTAGACTTGATTTTGACTGAATTTCAGATTGAAACTCGTCGAAGAAGAAGAAGACATATTTTTCCAGAAATTGTAGTTAAATTGTAGAATTGTAGATAATTTGTAGATAAAATATAGATAAATTGTAGATAATTTGTAGATAAATTGTAGATTGGGAAGACAAAAACTTCTACAAGTCTACTACAATTATGTCAAAAATGTTAATTATGCTACAATTGAAATGTGAATTGTGGTATTAAAATTTAATGTATTCAGTTTGTAGATATTTTGTAGATAAAATTTCTACAAATAAAATACAAATCAGTTTAAATATTGTATAAAGTTATATTCTTTTTAAGAGTATCTATAAAATTACTATATTTATACTACAATTAAACTACAATTTGATATATTACCAGTCTTTTGCAGCCTGTGTTCGGTTTAGCCGTGGACGATATTCTGATTCACTGGAGCTATATAAGGTTCGTCGTCCATCCATTACTTTACAGATGGGTTAATCTGTTGGCCTTGGATAGGAGAATGGGCGTAGCTATCCCTCTTCGCACCAAATGAAAAAATAATCCAGTTGGGAGACATCAAAACTCATTATGAATTAACTGAAGGTAAATGGGGAGGAGAGAGAGGCAGGTAAATCCAAATTGGAGAATATATGCTTCTAAAATCATGCCTAGAATAAAGGAAGCAATAATTATACCCTTAATTTGAATTATGGTACATAAATTGAAATATGGTATGCTTAAATGTAATAAACACAAACCTTAAACATGGGAGGTAATAAGGTTTGTTATATGGTATACATAGGTAAAAATTCCAATTTTTTTTTTTTTTTTTGTAATCATTCCTTTCATTGCCCGAGTTAGGAATAGACATAATAGCCCAAATTAACGTGTAATTTTTATTTTGTAGTCATTCTTTTCATTGTGCGGGCAGGAATATTATGTATTTTTTGCTTAATTAAAAGCGTATGGTATAAATAAACCTATTCTGAGAAAAGAAAAAAAAATTATTAAGACAAACACACATTATTTCTCTTCAAGTCTCATTTTGTTATTGCATTTTTAGCAAGATGAATCTTGAACAGAAGATGTGGCATGCTCTCTTTTTGCTTGCTTATGTTATTTCCGCGATACTTTTGCTTTGGGAAGGTTCATATAATGTGGTTGGAAAAGCTAGAGTGAGTTGCTGCACTATAGGTGGTCTCATGCTTTTTCCAGTAATTCTACTGTTACTCTCTCAAGAACTACAAAAAAGTATGTTGATATCGTCAAGTCAAGAAGTACAGTTATTGTGTCTAAATATGCTCGTGCATGCAACAATGTTGGACCATTTGTGGAACTGTGGGTGGAATGATAGTCAACAGCCAAGAATCCATTGGCCTATTAATACATATGTAATCTTGGTGCAACTGTTTATGTGTTTTTCATGCTCATGCTAATTAAGCCAGTGACTAGTGACTTTGGGATATTTAACTTGTTGTCTGCCGTTACTGTTAGCCTTTCTTTGAGGGATTATAAGTGTGGATGGCAGACATGGCTGGCACCAATTATTTGCAGCATTCTGATGGTGCTAAGGAATGTCTTTGAGCTGTGGCCAGTTTTGGCAGATAGCCACAATACTAGGATTAATGAATTTGCTAGCCTTACTGTGGCTGAGACTGATAATTAGGATTAGATACGGTTGATTAGTAGATGATGTTAACAATATTGCAATTTTTATTTGAAAGAAGGTTAAATTGGAAGGGTTTCATTTCTTATGTTGTTCTTTCTGTTTGTTAGTTTTCTATGTAATTAAGATGGTTTTTCTTGAAAAAAAAAAACAAATACTCTGATAAGAAAAGATATACAGATTAGTCTTGCAAAATAATGAAAAATCTGATACAGACACATTAAGAACACGTTTGGACATAACAATATTTCCACTTTTTTTTGGAAAAATAGTCACTTTTTTTTCGAAATAAAAAAAAACAAATAAGAAAAGAGATATACAGATTAGTCGTGCAAAATAATGAAAATAACTAATGTTGACACATTGCCTGTTTGGACATATAATATTTTTTTCCTCTTTTTTGAAAAATTATGGTAAGATTTCGGAAAAAAAAAAATTTTGTGGCCAAACAAGCTCTAAAGTTTTCCAGAGGTATGAGGTTTCTGTATAAAATTTAACAGAACATTTTATCAACGGAAAAGGGCCTAAAATGCCCCTCAACTATCAGATTTGGTCTAAAAATGCCCCCCATCCACCTATTGGGTCAAATATACCCTTCCGTTAATGTTTTTGGCTCAAAAATGCCCTTTGAGTTAACGGAGGGACACGTGTCATCCTCTTGTTGGCCCATTCTAAATATTTCTTAATTAATTAGAAAGGCTCATTATTCATACATGAAAAATAATTTTCTAAAGCAATTAAAAATGGATTTTTTTTCCAGTACTTACCAAAAAAACAATTTTTTTCTAAAATATTTTTTTTGAAGATACTTACAAAAGTTTATTAAAAAATCTGTTTTTTGTAAAAACTCAAAAAAAAATCCTTTTTTTTCTTTAGTTTTTAGTAAAAAACTGAATTTTTTAAAACTTTTTTAAAAAAAACTGTTTTATACTTTTTAGAAAACTGTTTTAAACTTTTTTTTAAAACTGAATTTTTTTTGTAAAACAAGATTTTTAGAAAACTGGATTTTTTTTAGTAAAATCTGTTTTTTTAGAAAACTGGATTTTTTAAATCTTTTTAAAAAAAAACTGATTTAAACTTTTTTTTAAAACTGAATTTTTTTTGTAAAACAAGATTTTTAGAAAACTGGATTTTTTTTAGTAAAATCTGTTTTTTTAGAAAACTGGATTTTTTAAAATCTATTTTTAGAATCTGTTTTTTTTAAATTGGATTTTCTAAAAAAACAGTTTTTACAAAAAAAATCCAGTTTTCTAAAAAAACAGATTTTATAAAAAAATCCAGTTTTCTAAAAATCTATTATTACAAAAAAAAATTAGTTTTAAAAAAAAGTTTAAATCAGTTTTTTTTTAAAAAGATTTAAAAAATCCAGTTTTTTACTAAAAACTAAAGAAAAAAAAGGATTTTTTTCCAGTTTTTACAAATAAAAAAAAATTTAATAAACTTTTGTAAGTATTTTAGAAAAAAATATTTTAGAAAAATTTTGTTTTTTTTTGTAAATACTGAAAAAAAAATTCTTTTTAATTGCTTTAGAAAATTATTTTTCATGTATGAATAATGGGTCTTTTTAATTAATTAAAAAATATTTCGAATGAGCCAACTCAAAGGGCATTTTTTAGCCAAAAACATTAACGGAAGGGTATATTTGGCCCAATAGGTGGATGGATGGTATTTTTAGACCAAATCTGATAGTTGAGGGGCATTTTATGCCCTTTTCCGTTTTATCAAACAACTTGTATAAAGAGCAAAGAGCCAAAGGATTAATACATTTGATTTTTAAATGTATAACGCGATCTATGTTACTGTAAAATATAATATTATCAGTATAATTTTAATTGTTATAACAAATTGTATAAAACACGTGTCATTATATAAATACTGTCACTATATATAGTATAAACTAAAAAATAAAACCATAGTATTTGACTTGTTGTACGATATATGTAATTTTGACTATCCGTCATCAAGATATAACCAAACAGCACCTTTTCTAAAATTTCCATCGTTTAAAAGACGCTCTCTTTAACTTTTGTCTTCTTCCACTTCTAGATCCAATACATTTTAATTATCACTTTTCAAACCCCAATTTTTAGTATATTCATTTCCGGTTCGAATCCTACATTTACAACCGTAGGATCAGAATCAACGGCTTGGATAATTCCCAGCACTTTTTACCTCTTCTTCTTTCCCCTATTTCAAATTCAAATCTCATCATCTCTTCAACGGCTAGTTTCTTTTCTTTTTCATTCTCTTCTCTCTTCTCTAACCCTATCCCTAAAATCCACCATTTTTCTCATGTACTAACGATGAAGCACAACGTACAACAACCAAGAAGCACAATCTTAAGGGAGAATCACGAAGCGATGCCGCCGGCGAGTCCAAACCCTAGCTCTACTACGAAGCAGCAGCAGAAATGGCTGACGCCACCGCCGTACCGAAAGAACAAGTCGTCGTCTAAAGAGAATGCTAATCCCAATTCAGATCTGAATTCCTCACCGGCTGTTACCGGTGTGTTAAAAATGAAGAGTCCGTTACCACCTCGGCACCCTAATTCCAATCCTTTAAAGCGGAAGCTCAGTGTTGAATCGGAGAACGGTGTCACCGTTGCTGCGGGATCTTCTGACTCTGGCGTCAAAGTAATTTCTAGAAAATTTATTGTTCTGACTTTATTGAAAATGTCAATTTCAGGTTTTATTTTTGCTCGAAAATTAATTGATCCTTGTTGATTTAATGATTTTTTTATTAATCTGAATTGTCATTACATCTGATATTTTTTATTAGATGAATTTTAGTTGACTTTTCCGCGAAATGTTGTTTCTGGTGAAGGAATTTCTTGAAAATTAACTGTTTGTTCATGAATTTTCGATTTGATTGAACAGTCTTATTGCGAAATCTGAGGTGAATTTACGAAAAATTGCTCTAAATTTATTGAAAATGTGAATTTCAGTTTGTTTGCTTTTTTTTTTATAATTGAATTAACTTTTTTGTTACTTATGATGAAATTTTTATTAAACTGAATGTCATCAATTGTGTGGCACTTTATTTGAGTCCAATATTTCGATGTGATGGAAGGATGAATTTTATTCGTCGAAATATTGATCGTGCTGAACATATTTGCTGAAAAATTTACTGTTTTGTTTGTGCAAAGTAGTTTAATCTGAGAGCTTATGGTAGTTATGGTAGATCCTGGAATGACTTTGTTGCAATGTTTTCCGTGGAAATCAGGTTATAGTGAGGATGAGGCCACCAATCAAGGATGAGGAAGAGGGTGAAACTGTTCTCCAGAAGGTCTCTAATGATTCTTTGTCAATATCGGGACATACTTTTACATTTGACTCTATTGCTGACACCCAATCAACACAGGTAAACATAATGTTTTACTTGTAGAGGAGATAAATTTGACAAGTAATGCATAAAAATTTAAAACAAACGTGCTTGATTCTTATTTTTTTATGTTTGCGCTTGATATATTTGAATTTGATTAGTGTGCTCGGTGAGAGATATCAACTAAATGTGATTGGTTCTGCTTTGGCATTGCTCTTGCAGCTAGATATATTTCAGCTTGTGGGAGCTCCTCTTGTTGAAAATTGCCTTGCTGGATTTAACAGCTCAGTATTCGCTTACGGGCAGGTAACTTTAGCTTATATTATGCGATATGCTAAATATAAACTGCAGGATGCCAAATATTCTACTGTAATCTTTTTTGCTGACGTGTCCCCTTAATCAGACTGGTAGTGGAAAGACATATACAATATGGGGACCAGCCAACGCATTGTTGGAAGAAAACTTGGCAAGTGATCAACAAGGCTTAACACCACGTGTTTTCCAACGACTTTTTGAACAAATTGAGGAGGTGATATTCTGTTGTCTCTTATTATATGAATGTTGCTTTTCCCATATGTACTGTAGGTTGTATAAGTATGAGTGTCAATTCATTTTCTTTTCAGGAGCAAATTAAGCATTCTGACAAGCAGCTCGTGTATCAATGTAGATGCTCTTTTCTTGAGGTTAGGCAACCTGGATGATTCTTTTGCAATATGTGAAAGGTCATTACATAACTCTTCTAAGTTCTTTAAGTCC